CCATGCCCCGCACACCAAGACAAACCCCTTGAAGTTTGTCATAAAGAATGTCTCTCTTGACACCGAAATAACAGATGTCAAAGAACTACTTGAAGAATCTGGCATAACCCTGATGGAGGACATCATCAGGATGAGAAAAACTCGTACGGGTCAACCTCTCCCCCTTCTCTTTGTAAAGGCGGTTGAGGATAACAACTCCCGTGACTTGTTGGAAAGAGGAGCACTCAAAATTGGCCCTCTCTCTTTCAAGATTGAAGCCTTTTCTCAAAGGCCTAGAAACATTCAATGCTTCAAATGTATGCAATTTGGTCATCTTGCCTCTGCATGCACAAAAGCCACAAAATGCTCATTTTGTGGAATGACTGGACATTCCTACAGGGATTGTCAGCAGATGAAAGCCGGACTCACACCAACCTGTGCCCTTTGCAAAGGCCCTCACAAGGCCAACTCCTCTGCTTGCCCTCACAGAAGGGCAGCCTTGGAACGCATACTTATGCAGGAGCAATTCCGCAATACAAAATTAGCAAAGGAACTCCTTCCATCTCGATCGTCAGCACAGACACCTCCTCGAAATGTAGAGCACTTCCCACCCCTGCCTATCAGCCCGAGGACTTTGTCAACTGCAACTGCCCCTGTCACTGCGCAGCATGCAGGAAAGCAGCCTTGCTCTTCTGCCCTTACTCAGACAGAAGTACCTGCCACCAGCCATGTTACAAAGCAGCACACTCCAAATCCTGCTGCTTCGGAGCCACGCCCACAGCACTCTGGTATCCTCAATCCCCGTGCATGGGAGCATATTCATTCCCCATCTTGCACACAGCCAGTCACGAACAACAATGACACACCCTTACCCATAGACCAGTCTACTCACCAACCTGTAGACATCACACGCTTCTCCAGGGAATTCTTTTCCATGCAGAAACAGGTTAATGACCTTTTCACGGCCCTTACCCCTCTCCTCGCCCTTATTCCACTCTTCGCTCAATGGACGGCGTCTCATCAAACACGCCTCCATTAATCCTGCATGTTAATGTGCAAGGATTCAAGAATAAAAGAGCGGAGATACTTCATTATATAGACGAAGTAACACCTTTAGTCATATGCCTCAGTGAGTTGAAACAGAAATCTGCACCTTGTATACGCGACTCCTACTGCCATAAGCGAACTTTTCCAACAAGACCATACCATGGAAGCTCTGCTGTTTATACAGTATACACTTCTCTCTGGATTCCACGCTCATAGATCACGTGTGGAATAATGTCATCGAAGTCATAGCTGTGCGAGTCAGATTTCCACAGAAGCACATTACCATCGTGCATGCTTACTTTCCACCCTACCACCATGACTCAACTCCCTCCTTAGAACACCTGGATTTTATCAGTAATCTCCACGGTCCCAGCCTGCTCATTGGAGATCTAAACGCCCACCATCCAGATCTCGGAGATCCGCCTAATTACACAAACCTAAGAGGAGAAGCAATTAGTGACTTCCTCCTCGATTGAGACTTCCAGATTCTGAATGACGACTCCCATACCTATCACAATGATCGTACGGGAGCTTCATCCAGACTGGATCTTGCAATTGGAAACCTCGCTCTGCTCGACCTGTCCCCCTCTTTTAGTCTGGGGGCAGATCTCGGCAGTGATCACCTCCCAATTCATGTCACGCTCGACATCCGCGCCCCCTCTCGCTCCAACTTTGTGAGGGAGGTATACGACTTTAAAAATGCGGACTGGGGGGAATTTCACGAAATCCTAGATTCGCTCCTCC